GCCATTCGGGTCTGGTATGGATATTAAGGGGTAACTCCACGCCAAAATAAAAAAAAAAAAGCGTGGGGTTCCCCCCCATTTTCATACCAGACCCTTATCTGAGCATGCAGCGCGGCAGTTCAGGAAAGGGGGGGACGAGCGAGCACCCCCCCGATCCATACCAGGCCACATACCCTCAACATGGGGGGGTGCTTTGGGGCAGGGAGGCTCCCCCCAAGCACCTTGCCCCCATGTTGATGGGGACAAGGGCCTCTTTCCCACAACCCTGGCCGGGAACCCCACACTTTTTTTTTTATTTCAGCGTGGAGGTACCCCTTAATATACATACCAGACCCGAAGGGCTTGGTATGGATGGGAGGAGGGACCCCACGCAGTTTTTTTTTTTAGACCTTTTTTTTTTGCAGACCTTTATTTTTACATTCAGCTGTCAAAATAAATATTATCTAGACCTTCAAAATAAGTAAAATCATTACAGAAATAATTATAAAGGATAAGAAACAAAAATAGAATCAATAGAACTAAGGAAATCAAATTAGAATACATAAAGATATGCCTAGTGCAGTTTGTTAAACACAGTAGATGCGACCGAGTGCTGGCTGTCAGAGGACTCCACACTGAGATTTACTACTGAATAGGATCTAAAAAGAAAGGGCCCACAGAAGACCTCTAAAATGTGTTCTGCACATGCTCAGTTATATCTGACCATAGACACTGGAAAAGAGTCTAGTTCTTCACTGTGACAACTTGCTTTAAAAAAACTATTTTTTACACATTTTAAAATTTTTTTGAAATGTCAGATATTGTTTTAAAGTGAAGTCCTGATATTTGGCAAAGCAAATTTCAATGTGAACATGTCTCTGCAGTGATTTTTCATGGTGTTGGACGTTCTTCTTAGCAAGTCTGCTTTTTAAGTCTGATTCCTGGGCTGTGTCTCGTTAGTAAATTTGATTTGGAGTCTACTTGTTGACGCTTCTCTTTAGTAAATGTCTTTGCAGTCTAAAAGTAGATGGTCGCTATTAAAAAGTAGACATTAGCCCACAGAAATGCGCCTAGGCACAATAGTAAATCAGGGTCCATATGTCTAGTCCATTGTATGACAGAACACCAAGATTATAATTATACATCAAATCAGGATGGAGCTATGCTGTCCTGGAAGGTTCCTGGAAATACAGTTAACAGGTAGATAACTGCGTTTTCCCAAGTCATCTTCCAGGACAGCTTCACATGAGAAGATTGGATAGGAATACATACGTTAGGGTGGGACTGCCTTTTGCAAAACCTTTCTGCCAAATGCCTGATCCTTGTTAGTGAACAGGTCTAACCGTTAGTGCCTGTGAATGTGCTGAAGCTGGACCAGGTGATGGCCTTTCAGATCTGGCGCCAGCTTTCTCTGCCCACGTAGCTGCGGTAACCCTAGTTTAATGTGCTTTCAAGCCAGATGGTGGCGTCAATGTTGTGGTTTTGTACCCTTTTGAGATGGCTTCTTTTAGCCATCCTTGCGATGGTGCCTTTAGAAGCCGTGTAACCTTTCCTTGGTCCTTGATATAAGAAGAAAGGCTGGGTGAGCACCTCCCTGCTTTAGTGCGCTCTATGTACGTGATTAGGCATCTTCTTACATCCATTTTGTTGTAGTCTCTTTCTTTGGAGTTGGTTGGGCTCCTGCAAAATGTGGGTATTACAATCTCTTCTGTTCTGTGGAATGCTGGGTCCGTATTGAGGATAATCTTATCTACCAGGATTATACATTAAGAGAGTCCTAATGTACTGTACATCACTGACAGTGCTTGCAGTTTATAATAAATTGGTGCTATCACAAAAATAATATTGTGAAATGCCCTCAACGCTGAAATATCCTTTTTCCCCCAAAAGTCAGTCATAAAGTCCGGTAGTTCAGCATCTCTAGAAATACGTGAAACCCCACAAAAAATATTTTTTTTTCTTTATAAAATGATCTTCCAAATTAACAGGAATCCTCCTTCTTTAAAAGGAAAAAAATAATTTGGAAGATCATTTTATAAAGAAAAAAAAAAAAATGGTGGGGTTTCACGTGTTTCTATAGAAACGTCAAACTATTGGACTTTAGTGCTTGCAGTTTGCTGACTCTGCGAGCCGGGGGACTAGGGCTAAGAGAGTGGTTTTGAGGGTTAAATACCTAAGAGAACATTTTTCCAAGGGTTCAAATGGCTCATGTTGGAAACCCCTTATAACTGTTCCTAGATCACAGACTGGGCATTTGGGTGGGTATGGGACTCTACGTCTAGCGATAGCCCTCAGGAATCTGACCACTAGGGGATCCTCTGCCAACTTCAAGTCCAGAAAGTTAGACAAGGCAGCTACTTGGACTTTGAGTGTATTATCTGCTAGGTTCTTGTCTGTCCTGTTTGCAGGAATTCGAGTACTGTGTTCAGGATAGGAGCTCCTGACGACTCATTCCCCTCCCTCCAGATTTTGTCATAAATGGTGTTTGTAGACTTTTTCCACCCGCCTAGGATGGTGGAGACCATCTTCTCTGATAAGCCTTTTTTGGTTAGCCTTTGCCACTCAGAAGCTGACAGCTTTTCCGGGTGTGGGTCTAGCACTGCCCACTGTACTAGTAGGTCCTTCCTGGGTGGTATTGTCCATGGGTCCATTAGGCTCAGCTTTTTCAGAAAGGAGAACCATGACCTTGTGGGCCAGAATGGAACGATTAGGATGACCATGGCCTCAGATGTCTGTATTTTCTGTACCACTTTTGGTAGTAATCTGTCAGGAATGGACTCAGCACTGGTGGTGGGACTCACCTGCCGTGTGGGCTGCAGTACAAGGGCCTTGGTGTATGTTTCCCATGAGCCCCTGTACCTGGTATCCTGTGTTCCTGACCTCTGCTGACCGTCTCCTGTTGAACCCCTGGCTTGCCTGACCATCCTTCTGCCTGATCCTCGGTACCAAGCTGCCCGCTACCTGCTGAACCTGGCTTGTGACCCCGACCATTCTCTGCTTGCTCCTCCTGTACCACGCTGCCCGCACGATACTGACCCGGCCTGTCTGACTACGCTTACTTCACCCGATGATCCATCCATCCCGCACGGATCACCTTTAGTAAGGCTGCCTGCCTCTTCCCATCAGACTCCGTTCCTGCACTTCCCTGCCAGTACCCTCTACCACAGCCGGACGCACTCAGGGTTCGCGACCTGGTTCCAGTCTGCACCAAGTCCATCCCCACCATCAGGGGCCCTGGTGAACAGCAGGCTGAGACGTAGACCCCGCACCCTGAGGAAATTTGTGCTGTGGGCTGCTAGAGACACTGCCAGGCGGCACCTGACAGTACCTTACGGCCTGCCTGACCATTTCACCTCTCCAGCCTGACTACGCCTGTGTTCCTGAAGCCTGCTACTTCCCTGTGTCAGTCCACACATTTCTGGTCATACCCGGATCCCTAACAGAACACCAAGGCCAGTCCTGACCAGAAGTGGCTGCACAGGGAAGCCATCTTGGCTTATTGTTGCGAAGGATGCATCCTGAGGACGTTGTATATTTGTGTCTGCTAGTCTTTGATGACAGAGATTATGCCTATGAGACTGTGCAGGAGTATACCAGGGATCAGCTGCTAGAATGCATATGGATCGCTCATTTTCTAGTGGATCAGGGCACAGAGTTCTCTGAGGTGCAGCCATTGATTCAGGTTTGTGCAGAGTTGGCTTCGTCTGGTGCCCCTGAGGGAAGGGATGACTTTTTGCCACCATTTAGTGCAGACCAGGTAGAGTCCCTGGTATGGTTATTAGAGGATGATGTGGATTGCTTCTTGGAGCATTATTCTGCATGTTCACAACATGTGCTTAGGGATTGTATAAACGCAGTGCAGTCTTTGACCAGACGGGCTTTGCGTAAGCTGAGCTTTGTTCAGCCAGTACTGCAGACATGGTCGGATTTGTTACATCCAGCCTCAGTCAGCTTGCAACAACCCAGTCCTGCTTCTAACCATTACTCTGCTCAAAGCTCTCTTCCTCCAGTTCCCACAGCACCCCCAGTGACAGCCCAGTATACCCTGCTAGCTACCACATGTCAGTCCCCTGCTCCCACTCGCTGCACCTATCCTGCCTTTTACCCTGTAAAGAAGCGCTCTTTAGCAACTGCTCCCTCCTTTTTTCCATCATCCGGCTCTTCCCTGTCTTCAGCTGCTCCATCCGTTTACAGACCTGCATTCACTTACAGTGCTCCAGTAACTAAACCCAAGAAGAAGCGAAAATTCTTTCCAACCAGTACCATCCTGCCAGTATCCAAACCGGTCAGCCTGCTGTCTGAGGACCTGCCTTCCGTTGTCCAGCCTGATGCCGATCCGGCCAGATGACCCGATCCTGCCAGATGACTCGGTGCCCGCTGTCGAGCTTGGTGACCTGGTGCCCGCGGTTCTGCTATGTGGCTCGGTGCCCGCGGTCGTGCCAGATGACCCGGTGCCCGCGGTTCTGCTAGATGGCTCGGTGTCCGCTGACGTGCTCGATGACTCGGTGCCCGCTGACTTGCCAGGTAACTCGGTGCTCGCTGTCGAGCTTGGTGACCCAGTGCCCGCGGTTCTGCTAGATGGATCAGTGCACGCTGACGTGCTCAATGACCCGGTGCCCGCTGACTTGCCCAGTGACTCAGTGCCCGCTGTCGTGCCAGATGACTGTGCCCGCTGTCGAGCTTGGTGACCCAGTGCCCGCGGTTCTGCTAGATGACTCTGTGCCCGCTGTCGTGCCAGATGACTCGGTGCCCGCTGTCGAGCTTGGTGACCCGGTGCCCGCGGTTCTGCTAGATAGCTCGGTGCCCGCTGACTTGCCCGGTGACTCGGTGCCCACGGTCGTGCCAGATGACTCCGTGCCCGATGACTCCGTGCCCACTGACTTGCCCGGTGACTTGGATCCGCTGTCGAGCTTGGTGACCTGGTGCCCGCGGTTCTGCTAAATGGATCGGTGCCCACTGACGTGCTCAATGACTCGGTGCCCGCTGACTCAGTGCCCGCTGTCGTGCCAGATAACTCGGTGCCCGCTGTCGAGCTTGGTGACCCGGTGCCCGCGGTTCTGCTAGATGACTCCGTGCCCGCTGTCGTGCCAGATGACTCGGTGCCCGCCGTCGTGCCAGATGACTCGGTGCCCGCCGTTCTGCCAGATGACTCGGTGCCCGCCGTCGTGCCACATGACTCGGTGCCCGCTGTCGTGCCAGATGACTCGGTGCCCGCTGTTCTGCCAGATGACTCGTTGCCCGCTGTTCTGCCAGATGACTCGTTGCCCGCTGTTCTGCCAGATGACTCGTTGCTCGCTGTTTCTGCCAGATGACTCGTTGCCCGCTGTAGTGGCAGATGACTCGTTGCCCGCTGTTCTGCCAGATGACTCATTGCTCGCTGTTCTGCCAGATGACTCGTTGCCCGCTGTTCTGCCAGATGACTCGTTGCCCGCTGTCGTGCCAGATGACTCGATGCCCGCTGACTTGCCCGGTAACTCTGTGCCCGCTGACTTGCCCGATGACTCGGTGCCCGCTGTCGTGCCTCTGCCCGCTGCCCAGCCTGACATGCCTCCGCCCGCTGCCCAGCCTGATGTGCCTCCACCCGCTGCCCAGCCTGACGTGCCTCCGCCCGCTGTGCAGCCCGATGTGCCTCTGTCCGCTGCGCAGACTGATTTGCCAGCCCCTGATGTGCAGCTAAACTGGCCAATAACTGATTCCCAGCCTGCTCCTGGAAATCCTGTGTCCAGCGACCTGCCTTCCTGGGTTCCCCTACATAAAGAGAAGTCTGCCAGCAGGAAACCCAGCCAGCCGGTTGACTCCGGCAGTAAGATATCCAGCCAGTTACCTGACCCGGGCGGTGGAACATTTTGCCCACTAGGGACTGTTTGGAGCGTCCTGAGGCCTCTCCTTGAGGGGGGGGGGTACTGTCAGGAATGGAGTCAGCACTGGTGGTGGGACTCACCTGCCGTGTGGGCTGCAGTACCAGGGCTGACCAGCGGGTGCTCTCAGCAGCCAGAAGCTCACTCCTGTAGTCAGCCAACACCTGGGGCTCATTGCAGGAGGTGTATTTAAGGAATGACCAGGCCTGTGATCAGGGCCTTGGTGTATGTTTCCTATGAGCCCCTGTACCTGGTATCCTGTGTTCCTGCCTCGTTGCTGACCCTGCTTTGATCCTGACCTCTGCTGACCGTCTCCTGTTGAACTCCTGGCTTGCCTGACCATCCTTCTGCCTGATCCTCAGTACCGCGCTGCCCGCTAGCTGCTGAACCTGGCTTGTGACCCCGACCATTCCCTGCTTGCTCCTCCTGTACCACGCTGCCCGCACGATACCGACCCGGCCTGTCTGACTACGCTTACTTCACCCGACGATCCATCCATCCCGCACGGATCACCTTTAGTAAGTCTGCCTGCCTCTTCCCATCAGACTCCGTTCCTGCACTCCCCTGCCAGTACTCTCTACCACAGCCGGACGCACTCAGGGGTCGCGACCTGGTTCCAGTCTGCACCAAGTTTATCCCCACCACCAGGGGCCCTGGTGAATAGCAGGCTGGGACTTAGACCCCGCGCCTTGAGGAAATCCATGCTGTGGGCTGCTAGAGACACTGCCAGGCGGCACCTGACAGTACCTTACGGCCTGCCTGACCATTCCACCTCTCCAGCCTGACTACGCCTGTGTTCCTGAAGCCTGCTACTTCCCTGTGTCAGTCCACACATTTCTGGTCATACCCGGATCCCTAACATAATCTGAATGGTGGAAAGGAGTAAAAGAGGTCCTCCTCTCGTGGCTGAGCCAGTACATCTGTGCCTGCACTTTGAGGGTCTCTTTGAAGGCAAAAGTACTTCCCTAGTTTTGCACTCCTTTTGCTGGCAAAAAGATCTATAGAGGGAGTGTCCCATCTGCTGCAGATCTGGGTGAACGCGGTGTGGCTAAGGCACCATTCTGATTGGTTGATTTCCTCTTGACTTAACTGGTCCGCTAGCAGCTTCTGGTCTCCTTTCAAATGAATCGCCGTGATTGACCTTAGGTTTTTCTCTGCCCAGCCTAAGAGGGTTTCTTCCAACTCCATCAGCTTTGGGGACATTTGTACCCCCTTGTCTGTTCAAGTATGCGACGGCCATCATGTTGTCTGACAGGACTTGGATCACTTTCCCTTTAATTTTTTCCTGAAAGGCTGTAAGCGCTTTGAAAACTGCCAGTAGTTCCCTGAAATTTGATGAGCTTCTTTGGTTGCACGCTGCCTGTTGGGACGAAAACATTTTCGGCCCGCTTGCCTATTGGGAACCCCTTCTTTTTGTTGGCAGATGTCTTGAGGCCGAAGAGGTGCTTTTCCTCGAAGGGCAGGCCACACAGTCTGGATTTGGAAGCGATGTCCTCCGGCCAAGATTTCAGCGAAATGGCTCTTCTAGCAGAGTTTATTAGCGCAGTTGATTTTGCTGTGTATTTTATGGTTTCAGTCGATGCGTCCGCGACAAAGGCCACTACCTTTTCCAAAACTGGTAGTGACTTATGAATTTTGTCTGCTGGTGTACACGCTCTCCTGAGGAATGTGTCGGCCTTGTGGTCCATTGGATCCTTTAGGGAGCCCCCATCTTTGAAGGATAAATCCATGCTCTTGGAAATTTGTGAAAGAGGAGATGGATTTAGGGCAAGACTCCCATATTGATGAGTCTTCCTCTTTGAATGGAAATCTCCTCTTAAGATTCTTAGGGAAAAAAAAGCTTTCCTTTCTGGCTCTTCCCATTCCCTTTTTATGGTAGACCATAGCATGGAATGAACCAGAAATGGGCAGACACTTCTCTTTTGTAGCCCTGAATATAGATGGCCATGCAGAGAGATCCGGTTGTTCTTCTTCTAAGTCTAGAGTGTCATACATTTCTTTCAAGAGACCCTCTGTATCTTCTACCAGAAAAAGGAACTTTTGCGACTTGTGATACTGTTCTTCCATCTCGCCTTCCTCTGAGTCCGAAGTTCTGGATAATTCCTCTTCCTGATCCGTAATGGTGCCCTGGTCCAGTTTTTTCTTCTTACCAGTAGCCTGAGGTGCCGGGTTGGCATCTAAAGTTTTTTCTTGCAAGTAGAACATCTCTTCCTCATCTCACAAGGAGACTCCTTCTCCTTCCTATAATCCTCCAGTGGGCCCATCTAAGAATGGGGAGATATAAAAAATATAGGCCTCCTAGGAGGTCACCCGGGAGTGCTCCCACAAAAGTAGAAATACAGACCCCCTGTGGTGCTGAGAGAGAGAGAATGCGGACCCCCCCCTCTGAGTGACAGCAGGTAGGAGGAAGTCATGAAGGATAGAGGGGTCCTGCCAGCCAACTGGCTCCTACCTTGGTGCTGGCCTCCCCCAGCTTGGATAGATCTGCTTCCATCCTGGCTGCATTCCTGCCCTTGGCGGTGGCTGTGTTTGTAGGCTGATGGGGCTCCACCCCTCCCAGGGTCCGATAGCGCCAACCTCCCCACATGGCCGCAGTGGATGGAGATGGCCGTGGTATGGGGCAAGCTTGTGAACCGCCACCCATATCCAAGATGGTAGCTCTTCCTGTTTTCCAGGCGCCGGAAGTGACGATCCCATTGGCACTTGAGTGTGACATCATCCCATGCTCTGCCAGTGCCTCATCTGGATACTGGTGTGTAGTGGAGGAAGGTAGGCTTTGCCCCACAATGTAGCGGCCCCTTAGGTCGGCGAAGCAGGCTCCTTCCCCCGATGAGCCCCGCAAAACCGCAGATGGACATGGAAGGATGGGTACTTCTCCCCTAATTCTGCTCCAGATTTCCGGGAACCCCGATTGAGACCACCTCGCAAGGCCCCTGCCTTGCTTAGTAAAGGGGTAGCCTCATCCAGGAGGCCTCTGTACCCTGCCAGACAGCCTAGATAAAATAACGGGGGTAGTTTCTGGCTCGAAGAAACACAAATACTGAGGATCCCAGGGGTGGAGAGGCTATTTATTAGGAAAAAGTGGATCAGGTGTTTACTGGTGGGAGGAGCCTGATGTGAATCTGTCCTGGAAGATGACTTGGGGAAAAAGCTGGGGCTGGTGAAGGCACTTGGTTGCATGCCTCCTCCCTGCTTTGCAGAAGCCTCTTGCAAACACAGCCAGTTCCAGCAGCAGCACCTCCTCCTCTTCAGCCACGATTGCAAGGAGTGAGGTAGAAGTGGTCATTGGTGCAAATAAATACACACAATTAAAACCTGTTTGGTGTTCCTGTGTTTTTGAGTTTAGTAAGTGTCACCTGCCTCCTGCTGCTGCTGTGTTTACTTTTGGCCAAGGAACTGATATTTGTTGGTCTCTGGGTGCGTGCAAACGTACAGTACTTCCGCAAATGTGATGAAGAAATTCCGCTCCAGGAGCTTGGTCCTGAGATGATTTGTGTGTGATAACTAATTTTTATGCATGATCACTGGCTCCTGTGGCAGTACCCAATACATTTCCTTGTGCGTTGGCCGGGAAACCAGGTGTAACTACCGCGACAGGTGGTTTTCCACCACGACCCGCGGGGATCGGTCTGGAGCCAGCTCCTGGGATTGCTGCGTTGTCTCAGGCGCCGCCAGACATTTGTCTGGGAGACTGTGCTACATCTTGGTCGCCTGCTCCGAGTATTGACTCGCTGGAGTCCAAGAACCCGGACTGGGGAACCAACCACCAAATTATGGCGCTCCACTTCAGGAAAAGGTGAGATCTTTGCCCTTTGGGTTATAACAGTCAGGACCTCTCGATGGTATTCGAAGGAAGGGGAGCACAATCGGATGATTGCACATCCTGGGCTAACTTCCAGTCAGTCAGCAATTTCGGGTTGGAAAATCTGGTGTGTATGTGAGTGAATGAGAGGCTGCCCAGCAGCGAAGCGAGAGTGGACCCTGCGTAGGTGCAGTTCTTGGTACCGGGGCTGATATCGTCCTGTTCCAAGTCACCGATAAGGGGAAGCGTTTGTCTTTTAACCCTATTGTGTCAAGGACCTTGGACCCCTTACCAGATTCTCAATCCCCTACTCCTCTGTGTCTGTTTTATTGTCTCTAAGGAAACAATATGGGTGATAATTAGTCAATCCTGACCCCCTTAGAGTGCATGGTCAGTAATTTCAGCAGTGGATTTTGCAAAACCTGAAAACAAACTCAGTCCTAAAAGGTTAGAAACACTGTGCAAGAAAGACTGGCCCCATTATGGAAAATGTTGGCCGCCCCACGGCACTTTGATTTAGAGATAATTGACTAATTGCCAGAATATATTAGGTCTGATTCACAGAAGCATGACAAGGTTCTGTACATAGATTGTTGTAAGAGGGTGACAGAGGTGACAGACCCTAAGTGGATAAAGTGAGGGAGGAACAGTGTAAAATTATGGTTATGACAAAGGTAATACCACAGACTAAAAGTACCAAGCGTATCTTTTCCCAACCTGAAGAGACAGACCTGCCTCCTCCATATATACAGGGACATACCACGGGTGAATATAGAAAAGGGACAAGCTGTGACGCCTCTCCCCATAGACCAGCAATGGGCAAACTACGGCCCGCGGGCCGTATACGGCCC